CCTCATAAGAGTCTTCTCCCATCGTCCTCCCTCCTCCCTCCCCTCCACAGCCCCCGCGCCTTCGCACTACCTCCTCCTTCCTTTTTCCCTCAACCGTTGGTCCCTCCTTTCCGATCCTTCCCTCCGATCCGGGTCGATCACTCGAAGCAAAGCTCTGCGGGAGGCGCCCTTTGTGTTGCGGGTATTCTCGGCAGCCCCGTTGGAAATGAGAGAGGTACGATGCAGAGCAGTAGGGTGTGGAAAAAGCGATGAATATATAACGAATGAACGACTACAAGGGTGACCAAGCGATCGAATAGCTGAAGGGCAGAGTTGGGCAGCTTTATTTCACTAAGAGGGAAAAGAAAAGCGAATTAGTCAGCGGAAAGGGAAGAGCGTGGAGGGAAGAGAGGAGGAGGAAAGGAAGGAATGGGGGAGTAAGATAGGGAGGTTCGGAAGTAGCTTTCTTCTACTACGGAGAAAGACGAGGGGGTGGAAGAGTTTCGTCGGACGGTCTCTCTCACCTCACCTTCCCGTCGCATCATTTGACCTCTTTCTTTCTCATTTCCTTTCCTTCCCTCCCCCTTTACCTCCCTCCTTCCCTCCCTCTTTGCCCACCTCCTGCAGGTTTTGTATCCTACGGACGAGCCCAGCCACTCCCATAGCGTGTTTGTGCTCGAGCACCTCCTGCGCTCCCTCTGCGACACGGCTTTGTTGAAGGACTCCAAATATTTTGCCTCCCCCATCGTAACGAAGGCTTTAGGCGGGTAGGGAGGGAGGTCGAGAGATGAAGAGAAACGTAGATGGGAAAGAGCTTTCCCTGTTGGGAATCGGAATGCATCATCTCATTGCAAGCATGTAGTGGGACATGACATGCGGTTTTCCTATATCCCCTACTTCCATAACCCTTCCCCTCGTGTCCTTGATATACCGTCAGCTTCCCAGGTGTGACCTTACGGCGATACGAATGCTCGGGCGCCTGCGTTGTGGTCTTGGATAATGCTTTGGAGGAGCAAGGCCTGTCTGTCCGGTGTCGCTTTGTTTTGCACACGGGCGATCGGAGCGATTGGGGCTCTACGCATAAGCCGGCAGAGGCGCCAGGTACGTGACGGGGAAAAGGAGGAAGAGAGGGAGGGCAGGACGAAAAAGATCACCGGTGGGGGGAAATGCGGCTAGAATCAAAGTCCAGAGGTCCACGGTGGGCGCACGAAGGAGTCGTGCATCTTCTCTTCCACCATCTTCCTTCCCTCCAACGCCCATTTCATGTCCCAATTCGACATTATATTCTAAACTTCCCTTCGCTCGCAGAGTGGCGATTAGTAGGCCCAGGACACCGGGCTATAGTCGGAGTATTGTCTTCCTCTTCCCAAATGGCGCAATTTGAGCTGGAGGCAATGGGAACGAGTGGGAGTTTTGTCATGGACAGGATGGAAGTAGAGGCGCTTTCTCAAAACCAGATTCAGTGTGAAGATGTTGATAAAGCCAAAGGCATCTTTGCTTGGGTAAAAATTTAGGCTTTGTACAGACTGATTTCAAAATACCTTACCAAGATGATATCATGGTTTTTAGTTCGTGATGTTAAGATATGTGTATCGATGATCGATTATTGTTGATGCTAAAATGAATCTGAAAACGAGACTCTAACTTGGACCTTGATTGTGGACACAGGGCTTTGCTTTCGCCACTTTCACGCCGTACCCGCATCTTTTTGCCTTATGTATTTTCTTGTCACGGAAATGTACGCTGAGGATTGAACACGTACGTGACGTAATTTTTCGACTTTTTGTGTGTCTTCGGAGACCGTGTCGTGCAACACAAGCACATGCCTCTTCGATCACTTGTTGGCGCGCACTACTCCATTGTATCAATAAAATGCTAGAATGTTAAGAATTAGGATAATATTGCATTCTCTTCCCGACAAAAGATGATTTCCCAAGAGTAACCGCAGTTTAGACCTCACTTATAGCCCGAGAAGCTCGAACTTGACTCAAAACATGCGCAAGAAAAAGGTGGGGGGGGGAGAAAGGCAAGGGGAAAAAAACGAGTAACGGCTCTCAACGGTTTTGAACGGGCGGTCATCAAGTCTATCGGGAGCTGCGGCGCTTGAGGTACACGCCTGGTTTGCACAGGGCAAGCACGGAGGGTGCCTGTACGACATGGATAGCTAGCACGCTTGATTTGGAGCTTAAAAGGGTTTTGAGGCAGGGACCTGGTCGCAAGCCTCAATGTCATCCTTTGCTTTCATTTTTAGAACGAGCCTTTCCCCCTCGCAAGACCCCGTCATCTCTTTTCTCCCCGAATCGTGATGAGCCCATGCTCAAATATTGAGCATTGAACACAAATCACTACGCTCACGAAGTAGTATTCTTCCTTTGCACAGCCCGTCAATGATTCCTCGTCAAGATTGACAGAGAATGAAGCGACTCTTGCCTGCTTCTCTCAACTTTTTTCTCTTACAATGCTATATTTTCATCTTTCTACGTTGATGGCACCTTGGTGCCGCAATTTCTTCACCTACCATGAAAGGATTGTGAATTAAGTTGATCCTTCTTTGCCCTTCACAGGCCGACCCGCAAGGGGGACAAACACTTTGTGCAAGCACCAGACGTGCTTCGCAACAGTTGACCGGCTGCCCTCCATCTGCGCCTTGTTACCACAGCCATGTCCACACCGCGCTCTAACCGACATGTAGAGACGTCTGATGAGCAAGCAGAGGAAGAATGCCCGTCGTCGGTGATGATTGGCATGAGCAACATGGCGGGTGTGCCCGCCGACTTAGCGTCCTACGTCTGGGATTCGAGGGAGGAGACCGGGGACACTTCTAACGCGACGGAGACGCGAAGTGCAAGGTAGGTTTGACGAAGCTTGAGGGAGGGTAGATGGCTGTCAAGGAGGAAAGGGAAAGAGGAGTGGTGGGAGGGAAAGGGGGGAACGGAGGGAGCGGAAGGAGAGAGACGAGGCATCAACAAAGCAAGAGATGCAGGGTAGATGTTAAGGTCGCATCGAAATAAATAAATGTACTGCATTGATTTAAAAATTGTTTTTAAAGATGCGGAGGATCAAGAGCAAAGCATCGCGACGATCAGGATGGTGCTTTACGGGGAACCGTGGAAAGGATACTAACGCCACCCGTACATAAAACATACCATGCGTCTGCAAATTCCCCACGAATGCGCCCAGAAAAAGCGGTGCAAAGGCTCCCATCGTCAGTCCCGACCTCGCCTCATCCTCCGCCGTCGCCCCCGCCACGGCTG